GCTCAGCGGCAAAAGCGCCTGCCTGGCAAGCGCAAGGTCGTGAGTTCGGTTCCTGGTACCGGAGAAAAACCAAAAAAAAAAAAAAAAAACGAACTGCCAAATCTTAACTGTAGGCTTATTTTTCGTTTTTTAGGGACCTTCCACGTCCAAGATGTAAGGGTCTCTGCTCAATGCCCCCAGTGCAATCCGTCCATCTAACAATCACTTTCAAGGGCTTTTCTCAGTCTTCTCCCAGAGTCCCCCTGTCAGCCATAAATCGAAGCTCTATTCTGTTGAGGTGAGAGGTCGCGGAGGATGGCACCTCCGGCTGGATGCTGTGGCAGGCATCCGCATTCCACCTCCCCGCGCTGGGCTGAATGCTTAGGAGAACGTTGGTGTTTTGGCCACGAAGGTATTTCTCACATGTAGTCCTGCCTGGCCGGCCTTCTGTGTTCTCGGGTATCGCAGGGCAAGCCTGCACTCCTCTGCTGAGGTTTGGACGGAATCCACCAGATTGTGGGCACCACATGGAGCTCATTTGGCAGAGCTTTCCGGATGGCTCAGCAGCCTCAGGCCCATCAGCAAGTTTCTGGCCTGGATAATAATTCTGTTCCCTGCCTTTCGTGCCCTCCAAGTCTCAACTTGCCCCTATGGCTGATGTTACAAAGCTCAGGAAGATTCTGCCCTCGTGAAGCTCTACTCTGGGGCAGCTGGCCTATGGTCCTTCCATGCTCCACGGTCTCTTTCAGAGAGATGGCCCAGGGGTAGGGAGATAAAGCTGCTGAGAGTTTTCTCGGGTGAGTCCTCAGCGCATGGCTCTGCAGATGGACTTGAGTGTGGAGCATGAGAAGACGGAGGTCCAGCACTGTGGCAGCTCTCCTAACCCCTGAGCTGCTTCACTGCCGGGCAAAGACTCACACACTACTTTCAACCTCAAGTCATCTAGAGCCACAGCTTGGCAGGACCCCACAGCTGGTCCTTGCAACAAAGTGCTCTAGAAGTGGAAACCCACAGAAGTCATCTGCTGCGGATGGGAGGCAAGGGTGGAGAGGCAAAGTGGAGATGGAGCTGACCCAGCTCGTGAGGTAAGAGAGCCTGGGGTTACCATGGCCAGGGGATACTTCTCAGAAGCCATGCATTTGGAGAAGTGACTAGACCTTTTCACCTGTGAGTAAAAAGGCACACAGGCCATTAAAGCAAACCCAACTATAGCTTTCACAGTGTGTTTTGCTTTCAGAGCAGTGCCATCCCTTCGGGCATCATGGATGCCTTCCTTCAGCCAGGTGTTCAGAATTGTGTGTGGCACCAGGCACTGCAGAAAATACACAGGAGAAAAAGCTCCCAACTACAGGGAGCTCTTTGTCTAACTCAAGGCAGGTGAGGACAATGCACTGCAGGTTACCAGCACTCACAGGAGCAGTGTCTTCCAACACGGCCCTTGCCTCCTTGGGCAGCCCTTCGGACCTACGCCAGGCCACTGGGATGAACTTAGGAGGGGGCTGGCAGGACGAGTCCTGCTCCTTATTTTGCGGCCTGGTACGGTGGATAAATATATTTGCTCTCTTTGGGATTCTTTTTTCTACCAGCCCAACTGCACAAATAATTTTGGCTCCAAACAAAGCCCTCTTCTGACAACCATGGAAACATGACATGAAATTCCTCAAACACACTTTCTGATGAAAGCGAGGAATGCTTTCTTTTATTTAAGTAAAAACAGTTTCCATGGGGAAGAAAATAAAAATCTATGTACATGCCAAATTAGTTCTCAAATCTTGTCTTTTTCTCTTCCTTGGGGTGGGGCATGCACCCAGATGTGAAGAGTAGACGCAAGCAGAAGATGGAGACCATAAAAGAGACGGGAGGGAGGAGGTGCTGAGGGCAGAAAGTCGAAGCACAGGTAGGAGGGAGAGAAGTTGGGGTGGGTAGGAAAGGCGAGAGGGCGTAAAGGGAGGGGCGTGACAGGAAGGAGAGTTTTTAAACCTCTTTTGCAATGTCATTAAATGATTTGCAATGAATTGGCCTAAGGCTTCAGGAATTTCTTGGCTTGAGCCAATTAAAAATATTTTTAAAAAGACACAGAGGATGGGAAATGTGATTAGTCCTCAAAGACAAGTCAAAGACGGGAGCCATGTCTGCATCGAGTCTGGCAACCAGATGAACAGCGATGTCTGTGAGACCATCGTATTTATCTGACTTCAATGCTGCTAAGAGGCAGGGCTGGTTTGCAGAGTGGAGTTTCTTTTGGACAAGATGAAGGAATAAAATGGTTTGAAAAAAAATACACTGAAGAGAGGGAGAAG